GTGGTGATATTAGTAGGTGGGGTCTTTGGGAGGTGATTAGGTCATGAGGGTGGAACCTTATGACTGGAATTACTACTCAAAGAAGAGATATGGAAGAGCTCCCTTTCCCCCTTTCCATGTGAGGATACAATGAGAAGTCTGTGACCTGGAAGGGGGCCCTCACTTGGTCATGCTGGCACCCTGACCTTTGACTCCCAGCCTTCTTAACTGTAAGCAGTATTTCTATGGTTTATAACCTACCTGATCTTTGGTATTTTGTTAGAGCAGCTTGAATGGACTAACACAATCAACTTTTAAACTGGATTGGCTGCTGGCAGGAGACTTCAGTTCCTTGTCATGTGCTCCTCAAGATATGTCATCTGGCTTCTGGCAGAGTCAGTGATCTAAGAGAGAGCAAGGAAGAAGATGCAACCGAGCCTCAGAGATGAAATACCATCGCTCCTGTTGTATACCGTTGGTCACACAGACCAGCCTTGATGTAGCAGAGAAACAGACAACAGGAGCAGCAGGGGGCGGGGACCCCTTGGGGGGGCCATCTGGGAGGCTACCACAGGGAGATTGGGTGATAGGAAATTTTATGACATTCCACAAATAATTGAGATAAAACCAATTAGTGGTCGTGGTGATACCTTCCCACTCTCTAGTTTGCCATTGTGATTGCCACTGACCAGTTTGAGATTAGATTCTTTTAGAATTAAGTACATAAATTTAAAAACTTTGAATACATAATATATTCACATTGTTCAAACATCTGAAAGTGTAACAACTTAGATTCTTTTTTAGCCTTCCAGATAATTTATCTTCTTTTGGTAGATAACTGATTTCTATTACAGTTTTTGCCTACTTTTTGGGGGCAATGTAACATGTTTACAATGTTTTATGGCATACAAGCTGGCAAAACCATCACCTGAAATGTTTAAAGGAATAATTAAAATATTTTTGAAGCTTTTCTAGAGATTACTAAGAAAAATTTCTAATGTACTACTATAAAATTATTGTAAAGAGAAAAATCCTGGCTGTTTCACAAAGAAAATTATAGCTAGTTAATAAATAAATGCAAAATACTCCATCTCAACAGCAAACATAGAAATGGAAATTAAAACAGTGGTATCTTATTAATGAATATTGTAGGAATTACAAAGTTTATGCCAATAAGAGGGTGATGAAAGGAGTATCAGTTGGCATAAACCTTTCAAAAATGTGTAAAAGCAATAATGCTACTTTTTTCATAGATGTTATAATTCAATAAAAATTTCCATAACGATGTTCATGTATCAAAAAATTTAGCACACAAGAAAATTCCAAGTTTTAGTTTGTACTAAAAAAATGTGGAAATAATTTAAATACTCAAAAATTGCAAGATTGCAGTAATATGTAATAAAACTAGCAGGATATAAATTTGTGTATACTTTGTGATGTGAAGAAAATATTTGAAGAAAAAAGACTAAAATATAGTAACTTCTATAGTAATCCAACTTTTGAACTATTTTGGTCTTTACAGGTTAGGAAAAATAACTTCTTCCAGATTTTAAAAAACTGTTTGTTTGTTTTTTTAAAAACATTTCCAGATTTTATGCAGTGAACCTGCATTGTTTTGAAAACATATAAAATGAGGAGCTCATTTTCTTTGCTACTAGCAGTCAGAAGTATATCTTTAAGAGATGCTTTTTGGGGAAAAAATAATTATGAACTCTTCATGTAGTGTAGCTTCTATTGTCCCCTATGGATTGACAAAATATTTGGGTTCTATTTTTGCTAGACTCATCTTCTCCAAAAATACTCCCTGAATCATTTTAGCCTCCTTCCCTGAACTTTTTTTCCCTAGTATTTAGATTGCCTTGAGAGCTAAACTGTCTGTCCATCTGATACCCAATTCAGGTGATCTTGGATGCAGACCCAGGCAGATTCATGCCTCACCATTCCTCATCAGGGTCTCTCCCTGAGGCAAGCACCAGGATTTACCAGCAAACAGCAGCACTCGGTCTGGTCCTTGGGTTGGGCTTCTGAGAAGGTGGGGGCAGCTTAGCCCCGAGTAGGGAACCTGGGAAGTGAGTATGGGTTCATGACTGTTTGCTTTTGTATAATAAATCAGTGTCCTTGAAACCTGGCCAGGCTTCTTCTGGCTCTATTGTGGGTCCTCTCTGGTGACTACAGTGCTGGAGCTGCAGGGGAGAGTGACTGTCCCCCCTGGTCAGTGAGGACTCCTGACTAACCAGAGCATGAGAAGACGCCCCTGACACAAACGAAAAAATGGACATCCAATTAAGAATGAGGAAGGAAGACAGAAGGATCACTCTCAAGCCTGCTCGCTGAAATTTCCATGAGCCTGAGCAGTGAGTGAGGAAGAAGAGAATAATCTAGGTGATGGTGTGGATGTTCCACAGACCCACTGGCTCCACAGTTAGTGTTGGCCCCTCTGATGATTCTCTTAAACTGCTTTGCCTCTTTTGGTCAAGGTTGGGTGTTTTTATGATGCATTATGCAAATCTAAGCCCTTAGCCACCACCACCCACCACCACCACCTTGCAAGTCTGGGTCCTTAGTCCAGGGAGCAGCCTCACTGTCCAAGGGAGGCCTGGGTAGCTCTTAACTCTGTGTTTCCCCTGTGAGGGGAAACGACTGCTGTACACTCTCAGTGTCCAGTTCATTAATTTCAACCACTTGAACCTGAACTTCCTTCAGGTTTTTGAGAAGACTCACAGTGCCTCCAACTTGTGACTTCTTTTGGCCAAGGAAGTATGGCACCCTTCTTATTCATTTAACAAATTACTCTGGTTTAAACTTTTTTTTTCTGACATCTCCATTTTGTTTCTCAAGCCAACCCACATTCATTGCTTGTCTTTTCTTTGCTCATTGCTATTTGTTCTTCTTTGTATAGTAATTGTTAAAATCCACTGCATTGTCTGCACTTCAGTTTCAGTGTTACTTGGTCTTACTTGTTAATCTGAGTGTTTTGAGCAATTGTATTCATGACCATCTAACTTCAGGTTATTAACTTTGATGCTCAAGTTTAATAAGCTGCTGGTTCAAAATGATATTTATTTTGAATAATTTACTTTAGAGCATTCTAAATAGAAAATACAGACACATAATAAAAAACTGTGCCAGTCCAGCAGGTGGGTTAGGCTTGCGGGACCCAGATGGGAAGGGAAATCTGGAGCATTTAAAAGCTGAGAAGCACAAACTGTCTTTGTTCTGATTTAGGACAAAGCAGTATCTCCTCACGCTGCTCATCAGGGAGAGAATTTAAGCTTATGTTGAGGCATTATACAAGTTCTTTTCCTCAGTAGCTTCTGGGGTGTATATGTGTGTGTGTGTGTGTGTGTGTGTGTGTGAGAGAGAGAGAGAGAGAGAGAGAGAGAGAGAGAGAGAGAGATCCTGGTTTGGGAATTATAGGCCCTTCTGATGCTTTAGCAGACATCTAAACCATACCATTGTCAGCAGGTCATCAGGCCATGTCCATAAAAATGGCATTCTAGACCCTAGAAAGTATCCATGAATTTTATGCACCTTGGAGAGATTTCAGCTTTAGGTTCAAGGCAGGAAAGAAATTACTTTGTAAGCTGCAAAATATGGGAGATGCTTATTATTAAAATGTACTATTATTTGCATTTTGCTCTGCGGCGAGAGACTGGGATCTGTGCAGAATTTAGCCTACTGCTTTTATCAAGAAATTTAGGAGTTTTTACAAAGGAAATGACTGTTGTTATAGGAATAGAAGTAGTTAGAAAGTTCAACAATGCAGTACATAGTAGAGAAAACACATAAAACCTCTCTGGTGCTCTGAATAAGTAATGATTTAAACAGGTGAAGAATACCCGAAAGTGTGCAGAGTTGTTGATTGTATCACCTAATGGGAAACTGTATTATAAGATACATTGCCATTTGACCCTTTCCCCTTTCTTAGTTCCTACCCTAACCCTTCACCCTGCCCCAGCCTAACTAACATCTCATACAGAAACTAGAAAACAAACTGAAACCTAGAATGCTATTGTTACCATAGATGGTTAGCTCATTACTAACAAGAAAGGGAATAAAGGGAAATTGAGGAGCAGAAGCCTGCTTCCCTAGCCAGGAAGCTACAGCATTTACAGACTCATTCACACTTTCCAGGGCACCGCTGCCAAGGAGACTTCATCCTAGGCACATAGGTAACATTCCCAGGAGCACTGCTCCCCCTCCAGCACCAGATAGTTGGGGAGAGCAGAGGGAGGTAAGCACATGCGTGCCAAAAGTCAAAACGGCAGAGGTGAAGGTGCTTGACAGAGGATTGTTGGTCTAACTAGGGGGTGGACCCTGCATCAGCCCGCAAAAGCCTGGGAAGCTAGATTGGTTAATTTGAAAAAACTCCTGGTCTTTCCCAAAGCCTAAAATAATATAATCCCAGAACAAAAAAGTTCTTTCTCTCTCCCTCATTCATTTTCCCTCTCTCTCTCTCTCTCTCTCTCCACACACACTCACCCCTGTTTGTGTTTGTGTGGTCTCTCTCACCTAGGAGCATGTGACCATGTGGGGCTTGCAGCTCCCGGGGCCACAGGGGACTGCATGGGCTCCGAAGGACTAAGCTTTAAGAAGAAACAAACTCCGGACACTGCCTTTGTTTTCGCCTTGATTTTTCTGTGGTGGGCTGGAGAAAAATGGGACACGGGGGCAGATTTCTATCTGAATAAATCATCTTGCCACATCACCATCTCCCGTGCACAGGTCTGTGAAATGCTTTTCTCGTAATCCCGTGGAAGAGTCTGATTTCCACCGACAATAGTGTATGTCGTCAAAATATGTGCAAAGGTTATCTCTAAGTGGTGAGCTTATTAAACAATTTTTACAGTGGCCATTTGTTCCTTTTGTTATGTTTTACTCATCCTTTTCAATGTTATTTAACTTCAAAGGAACGTGTGGGAGAGTACAGACTAGCAGTCAAAAAGAAGCAATTCATTCCTGATTATGAGCAGGTCGGTGGTACCCACGACCTTCCTCCATAGCTCCACACCGCTGATCTCTCAGCCCCAGGGTCCCGGGCAGCCCTTGCACAGCTGCCTGTCCTTTGCATGCGGGTCTACCTCCAGCTCAGGCCACACTGAATTTGCAGCCTAACAATAGGGCAGCAGAGGTCAACAGCACAGCAGGAAGTGTTTGGGTATGTCTTCCTTCACTCCTTAACCTCCTGTAGGGCCTACATTTACAAGAAAATAAAGATAAGCAAGCTGTAAATATTAATCTCTGGAGGGGATAAAGGGAGATGGGGGTGGGGCCTATAGTCCCTCAGGTGGGGTGAAGCAGCAGAGGAGGGTAGACTTTACTGCATTGTGAAGCCGGGGCTCTGCTCCTGGCAGCAACACACGCTAAGTCTTGGGCTTTAGTGTCTTCTCTTTGTACCTTGTTAATCTGAATAGGTGAGACCCCCATGGAACAGTCACAGAAGTAATCAGACACCTATAGCAACACACACACACACACACACACACACACACTATAAAAAGGTATTGACTCAACATTTTAACAACACGAATCTAATGAACTAGAATGAGATGTAAAATAAGTGCAGTGTTCTCAGGGATTTAAGTAAGAATAATGGTGGTAACAAAGTGTTGAGAGCATTTGTTGCACCAGAAGAGGCACTGATTGCCATCCCCCACCCTCATTTTTGCAAGAGTATCATGTCAACCAGATTATTTAAAATTGTATCCCTGTCATTCCTTATTTCCATCCTCTGCTTTATTCACAGTGCTTACCCACCTTCTACAAACTCTATCTTTCTGGTCTGGGTCTCCTTCTTAGCATATATTTTCCATGAGGTCATTGGTCTGTATCATCAGCACTAGAATATGGCCTGACTCATAGTGGGTATTGAGTAAATACTTGTTGAACTAGATCAATAAATGGAGATGTATAAAAGAAATGAGAATGAAGACTATGGAATTAATGTACCATACAGATTTATTATCAGCAGAAAAAGGAAGGATGGTGGAAAGGGAGAGAGAAAACAAGGGAAGAAGGAAAGGAGGAAAGAAGGGAAGAATTAAAATGCATGCCCATATCAACCTGAATCTAAAATAATAAATGATACCTATGGAAGGAGGATGCTGAGGACTGGGCGCAGGGAGTGAAACCAGAAAGGTGGAAGAGCTTGCTAAGTGCTTAGTGGTTAGTTATAGGCGAGTTGTCAGTTAGAGGCCCCAGACAGCAAAGGCTTGACTGGAGCAGTTGCCTCTGCTTTCTCACATGGGGGCTATTGCAGGCCTTGGTCCCTTACCAGGTGGCCTTCTCCGTGAGGTCACTTAGGCAAGGTACCTTGCTCTACCCAGGACAAGCAATCCAAGAGAAATCAAGACAAAACAACCACGACAGGCCCCTCTCTTTCTAGCATCAGAGGTGACATTCCATCTCAGTTCTGTGACCTATTTGTCAGAACTCAGTTGTTATACAGCGGGTTGCAGATGTCTCTGTATCTCGTCCCTTACATTGTTTATTCTTCATAGCATGCTACGGCCATTAGATTAAACCTGCTTGCAACTGAAATCAAATCTTTACACATCCAGTTGTTTTAAACGGAGACCAAATAAACATACGTGTATCCATTGAGAGCCTGCCTGCTTTGCACACCCCATGAGACTGCACTCAGTGAGGGCTAGCTATAGATGAGAAAATGCTTGGTGGGCTTTGACCCCAATCTGCCTTTGCCCTGTGTTGCTGTTTGATCCAGAGACACCTGGTTGTGCTGCTGAGAGGCATGTGGGAGACACAGGTGCCCTTCGCCAATTCCCTACCCACTTGGGAGTTCTCAGCCCTTTTCTCTGCATGTTGGCCCTGTGTCACTGTATCCAAAGGTTTACTTACAGCTGTGAGGGACTTCGCCTCTCATCTAACCTTTCTAAGTGCCGCCCAGACAGAGCTCTCTCTGTGCTATTGCCGTCTCGTAACAGCGCTTTTTGCCTTTTCCCTCCATCATCCTGAAATCCTCACACTCACCACCCCTTCATGCAGTGCAGCCCACTTAAGGGAGGGGCTCACACAAGAGCTTGAACACCAGGAGGTGGGGTCATGGGGGGCTGTCCGAGTGGTTTTCAACAACAGTCTGCCCTCCGGTCCCCAAAGCTTCACATCCCTGTCACACAGCACACATATTTCCTAGGGCTTGTGTTCAGCTTTGCAGACACAGAAAGGAAATGTTCAGGGCAGAGGGTGCCTGGTTTTTGTCTCACTTCCCCCCTGCAGGTGTCACTGTGGCAATGGTTGCTGTACCACAGAACACAGTAGTACTCGGCCTCGTCCTCGGGCTGGACCCCGGTGATGGTGAGGGCGGCTTTGTCTCCAAGCAGGCTGCCGGAGAACCTGGCAGGAACTCCTGGCACCCGACTGCTGGTACCACCTATTAGACCCTGGAGTGCCTGGTAGGACTTCTGTTGGACCCAGCAGGCATAGTTACTCGTGGTGACAGCCCCAGTACTGGAGCCACAGGTGAGTGTGACCGTTCCCCCAGGAGTTGTGGACAGTAAAATTTCCTGAGTCACCACAGCCTGGGATGTGGCCCCTGAAAACAGGCAGAGAGACCAAAGGTCAGGAATGGGAACAGGCGTCATGAAGGTGCCGTGTGGCCTCTCTCACTTACCCCCGACCCCCAGCCCAGACCTGTGCAGTGAGCCAGAAGTGTGAGCAGGAGAGGAGCCCAGGCCATGGTGTAGATGCCTCACTGCTGTGCTTCTCAAGGCCCCGCAGCACAGAGTCAGCCGGCGCACCTCTCATTATAACTCCTACCGCGTGTGGGGGTGGGGCTGTCATGAAAATGCGCTCCACCCCCAGGGGTGTTCAGCACTGTGGTCACAGCTACTGAGCTGTTCCACATAAGTGACCACGTAGTAGTGGGACCCAGGGCCTATAGGACCATTTCACAGCTGAGCCTGCTTTCCCAGGCACTGCCCACAGCCCCCTCTAGTGTCCATAGTGAAAATATCACCAATGGACAGATGAACTCCTGCAGGACTTTCCGTGTTTGCAACCCCTCTTTCCTCCCGTCTGGGGCTTTTAGTCATCTCCGTAGGTCAGATGAAGTGCCTGTGATTCCTCAGGCAGAAACTGGATGGAGGAATTTGGGCAAGGGGAGGCCTGAATGAATTACTGTCTCTCTTTTTGCTCCATACATCATATGCTTCTATATTGAGGAGAAAGGCTAAGGTCTTGGATTCTCCTGCTGCCTTGGCTCAGGTTCTTTTGGAACGCACCCAATAGTGTGGATGCCTTGCCACATAGGTAGCTGACTGCCCCTGGTCAGGGGCTTGGTCTTGGTCTCTCCCAGACCCTAGCAGCCTTTCTTTCTTTCTTTCTTTCTTTCTTTCTTTCTTTCTTTCTTTCTTTCTTTCTTTCTTTCTTTCTTTCTTTCTTTCTTTCTTTCTTTCTTTCTTTCTTTCTTTCTTTCTTTCTTTCTTTCTTTCTTTCTTTCTTTCTTTCTTTCTTTCTTTCTTTCTTTCTTTCTTTCTTTCTTTCTTTCTTCCTTCCTTCCTTCCTTCCTTCCTTCCTTCCTTCCTTCCTTCCTTCCTTCCTTTCTTTCTTTCTTTCTTTCTTTCTTTCTTTCTTTCTTTCTTTCTTTCTCTCTCTCTCTCTCTCTTTTTTTCTTTCTTTCTTTCTTTCTTTTCTTTCACCACTGCTCTGGAAAACTAGAAGACCATAGTGGGGTTTTTCTCCCAGGGCTTGCCAGCTTGCCAAATACTTGCGCTGTGTGTGTGTGTGTGTGTGTGTGTGTGTGTGTGTATCTCTGTCAGTGGGTCATAGGACTCACGTGTCTACACTGTGTGCTTGAGAGCACTCGCCTGCTCTGGGCTACCTTAAACCTCAGTGTCACCTGGTAATCTGGTGGAGCAGTATTTCCGAAAGTGGAACATGGGCTTCCAGAAGCTGAAGGCCAACCAAGTGCATAGCTCCCCACCGAGGGTGGGCACTGTGGGACGCAATAATTTTTCCTGCTCTAGAGGGCGTGTCCTGTCATGTCATAGGCTAATGCTGCCCTAGGTACCTCAGTGGTAGGGCGGGCCTCTAAAACGTCACCAGGTTTGTGTCCTATGTGGCAAAGTCCTAGTAAGTGAAATGCAGTCTAAATGGTAGTACAGAACTTCTGGGAGGCTTTTTAAAAAAGATAGGGTAGCTCTGCTTTTGATATATATGGGTACATACCCAAGGAAAATGAAATAAGCACCTTGAAGTGATATCTATACTCCCATGTTCATTGCAGCATTACTCACAATGAGTGAGATATGGGGACAACCCAAGTGCCCGTTAACAGATTAATGGATAAAGAAAATATGGTATGCATATGCAATGGAATATAATTCAGTTGTGAAAAAGAAGTCCCTGCCCTGCCCCAGTCAGGGCACATGGCTGGGTTCCAGGCTCGGTTTCTGGTCGGGGCAGATACAAGAAGAGGCTGATCAATGTTTCTCTCTCACATCAATGTTTCTCTCCCTGTCTCTCTCCCTCCTCTCTTTCCCTTCTCTCTAAGGTTGATGAATGTATCCTCAGGTGAAGATTAAAAAAGAGAAAGAGAGATATTGCCATTTGCAACAACATGGATGATTTTTTTTATTGTGGTAGGATACACAAAACATTTAATTTGTTTTATTTTTGAAGGTATCCAAAAAGATCATAGACTGGGGAATCCTTAGTGGACTCGTGGACGTGATGGTGCGGTGGCCTGGGTACTCACAGGGAGTCCCCTACCTTCTGGAGCCCTACGTCTTCTTACCACAGACTTTGATGTGCTCCTGCCTCTTGCTCATCTAGTTCAAATAAATCGATGTCGGTAATATAATGTATTACTGTGAGGTTCCGCAGAAAATGCAGAGTGTCCAGTCTTCTTGGGGAAATGTTGGCCAACAGGCAGAGGAGAAACAACCTGGGGGGAACTCTTCGAGTATCCCGTTGTCCATCCCACGCGAGTGTGAATGGCTTCCGATACTCCTCACTGACCACTGAGAGGCATGGAGGGCCCGCACTGGCCAGATCTGAGGCTTGAGGCAGTGTTCATGCATCCCAGCAAGGACGCCACGTTGAGCACACAGCTGCAGTTGGGGTCCTAGTTGTCTGAGTCTGTAATAGCCCACGTTCTTCTGGCAGAGCCCTGGAGTTTCGGTGGTTGCTGTCGGTTTCCATAGCTGAGTAGCCAGATTGGTAGATTAAATGAGGACATGCCGGGGCCCAACCAACTGCATTATTAAGGGTAGCTCTAACTCTGCTATTTTCCCATAATAATATTACTTTGTAAATGTCCATCTTGAAGAAAACGGAGCAAGGCGAAGTCACACAGGCTTTCCCTTGGCCCTCTCAACTGCCCGTACTGTGACTAGTTGGCCTCTTCTCCAGGTCAGTAAATGAGTGTGGAGATTCTGCTGACAGTTATGGGAATTCGTCCCCTGGGTGATTCTACAGACCTGCCACCAGCTGCGCCTCCGCTTCAGCAGACACCCAACATCCCTGCTGTAGTGGGAGGCGTGATAAAGTCTGAGATTCCTGAGTATTGCTGTCACTTGAGTCGTGTGTTCACTAGCACTCCCAATGTTTGGACATTTCCTCCCGCGCGCTGGGTACATTCAATGGTACATTCAACAACCACGGGTCCCTTTAGGGCAGCAATGGGAGAAGCACTACCATATACTTCAGTCAAGGGCTGACTACCTCACTGGTTTCCACCGTACATTTCAGAAGTTTCCGGGTTTGAAAAAGGGGTCAAGTCAATAAACTGGGCAATAAAAAATAACATTTTATTAGCCTGGCTACACTCAGTCCTCTGCACATCCAGTGTTCATAATTTGGCTGTAGAGAGTGACATTGGCTTTGGTGGCTACTGTCTGCCTTGTCCCCAGGAACACCGTGCACTAGTAGCCATGCCCACTGCATTTTGTGTGTTCGTCCTCTCTGATTGCTGCTCTTTGCCCTAATTTTATTCACCTTCTTTCTAATAATAAGAGGCCTCTCTGCCCTCTAATTCTTTGAGATGCTAATATTTCTGTTGATAGCAGAGAGAACATTTCATCAGTGAAATATCCTCCTGTGAGCCCTAGCCTACCAAGAACCACATAGTGGGTGGGGACAAAGGAGCTGATGATGCTGTTTGCACTATGAGTGCACCTGTGATGGCTGAACAACCTGGAAATTAAAGCCCGTCAGGGAGCATGTGAATCTCAGCAGCCACCTGTATTGATGTATAAACCCTCAGATTTCAAGGAGTCCCTGAGGAAATGTTTTGTAACACATGAAGACATGTGCTCTGGACCAAGAAGAGGTAGGGCATGCAGAGATGCACCATTCTCATAGACAGGTGCTGGGAAATAACCTGGGAAAGTGAAATGCCCATCACAGAGAGGGAGGGTAAACGGAAAGTAAAGCCCGTTGGAAGGATGTGGGTGCAGCACAGACCAGCCGTGAGGGTTTTCCTCGCTGCCTCTGCCTGGGTCCCAGTGGGTCCGTGTGGCTGCTCTCAGTATGTGGCCTTACCCAGCAGGAGTCATCCGTTCTTTTTCCTGGGGGTTTCAGGCACCAATCGAGGTCAGAGCCAGGACCCAAGAAACATCAGTTAAGGAGGGAAAGTCCTAGAAATGACATGTGGGAGGAGAGAGAGGAGGAAAGAGCAGGACGGCTTCTGCCGGGACAGGAGGCCTCTGCGTCTGGGATCTGGGGACCGTGTGGTTCTCCTTTAATCAAAGCACTTACCGCTCTGTTGGCAATTTCACTCTGTTTCTTGTCTGGAAATAGCTTCCTGTCTTATTTCACAGCATGCTTATGGATTTAATGTAAAACATTCATGTCGATTTTTTAGGCAGGGAGGTTTTAGAAATGAAGAATCTTAGGTTCAACTCAAGACCCACTGATTCAGAATCCACATTTTACAAGATACCCATGTGATCCCTGTGCATTTTAAAGTTTGAAAGTAACTGACCTAACACATTCATCAAGGCTACGAGTTTGTTTTTAGATATGAATTAATTCCATCTTAACCTCTTCTGCTTACAACCAACTTGTCAGCAAAATTAACTCTCTTTTTTCTTCATTTTTGTGCATTGCAAGTCAAGATTAATGGATGTGGAGCAGGGAGCTTGTTACTAGATATTTCAGGGCTACCAGGGAACACCTGTGCACTGTCCATTCTTACAGGTTAACTTATGTCACTGCTGTTGCTGTGGGGAGGGTCTCCTGTCGGTCCCCAGCCCCCACTGCAGAGGCTGTAACTTTGATCCCTGTCTGTGCACGAAACGCATCGTTGTCTGGGACCGTGTGTTCTGCTCTTTACTGCTCTGGGTCCCCATTGTCTGTCCCTTGTCAGCCTGGTGTGGCCTTGTTTTCTTGTGATTGTCTAATACATTTCAGAAATTAGAGTCTAAATAATTGTCTCCTCAGCAGAACAGAGAAATAAGTTTCTGTCTGGTGATGAGACTGGAGTTTACAGCATCCATGCCCAAATGACTTGACATTTATCCTACATCCTCCACGCAAACTATTGGAGAGGGAAACACATTGGAAGTCCTGATGCTGAGCTGGGACAGTGAGCACTTGGGGTTCTGAGAGCCTCTCCTCCATGGGAGGCTTTACCCAGCCCCGGGGATGCAGGGGCCCCACAGAGCTCTGATCTCTGGGGACAGGGCGACCCAGCTTCTGTAAGGCCTCAGAGCTCAGGGAGCTATCAGGGGAGCCCAGGTTGGCACCAGGAGACACACAGGGCCCTGGGCACGGGC